GCGTCCAGAATGTTTCGTATCATCTGACGACTCATCCCAAGAGCAGCTTTCACAAAGCGGGGATAGCTTCCGATAATATCAAGGTAGCCGGCAATCAACTCCAGTCGTCCAACTCTGATCGATGAAGGAGAGTCACTTGCCGAGGTATATAGACGAGCCTACGAGAGGCCTCCCGATATCGAGCTCAGCGACTATGAAGGAATCAACTGTCTCTCCAAACAATCAGTACTGAGCCCGGTTCACCCGGTTCCTCCATTTCCTCGCCCAATTCCAACACCACCGAGCTCCAGTATCTCCTGACTAACCCCATCAAAGCTTCTATCGCCACCTCACCCTTCCCCTTTCTCGAACTGCCCCTCTCCATCCGCAACAAAATCTACCACCACCTCCTCACCATCCCCGCGCTAATCTGCCTCCGCCAAAAGCACACCGGCACCCACGGCCCCTGCTCCACCCAGCCCCAAGACCGCGCCCTCCTCCCCGGCATCGCCAGCGCCTCCGCCCACCACGCCGTTGCCGGCCCCAGTATCCCCTTCTCGCGCTTCCCCTCAACCAACCCCTCCATCCTCCTCACCAGCAAAGAAATCTTCGCCGAAGCAAAAGCCGTCCTGTACATTGCCAACACATTCGCCATCCCCCGCCCTTCCACTGAACTCACCCCGCCATGTGACTTCAGCGTGCGTCTGTTCCCGCCGGGATGTCAGCGTCTGGTTCCTAGCCTGACCATGCGGATCCGCTCGTTTTACGATTTGAGCTGGCTGTTGGATGGCGGGTGTAATGTGGTCAAGAATTTCTACCGCGGGGTGGAGAGCTTGGTGTTGGTTCTTGAGATTGACGACATCAATAGGGGGTTTGGGAGGCAGTGGGGAAAGCGGAAGGGGGAGGAATGGGAGTGGTATGTTAAGAGGTTGAGGGGCGAGATTGTGAGGGATTGGGTTGGAGAGGCCAGGGCGGTTCCGAGGTGGATTGGTCTGAGAGTCGTGTTTGGCGGGGAGAGGTATGATGGAGAGAGGAGGGGAAATGGTGGTGTGGGAAAGAAAGATGAATTGAGGAGGGCGCTTGTGGAGGCTTGGGAAGGTGTGCAAGAAGGGTAGTCGTTGAGGCTCTCTCATGGCTCTGCGATGCCAACGGCGTCAACTACGTCGCACGGTCGAACCGACACGCAGTATCATCTTATCGGGACATCATCTACACTCACATCTTACGACGAGAAGCATTCGCGCGTTAGCGTCAAAGCAACGAGTTGGACCGACTTCATTTCAACTGAGATACGAGAGGGTCTCTATTTGACAGCCGCGCTGGGAACTGAGGTGGAAGACGTTGGAGAATCTCTACCTATACATCGCACGTTCAAGCAGCATCTTAATCTAGCCATAGCAATTGGAAGAGCGATAGGACTTTCTATACTACGTACTTTTAAGCAAGTGCAAGATACAATTGAACGCATCATGATCCCAGGACATCACAAGTTTCCTGTGATTGAATGTTGATTGCCTTTTTACGTGGTTTTTTAGTCGCCGTGGAATGTGTAAGCTTGAAAAGGCACGAGTATGTTTGAGCATCATGAAGTCCTCACGGCAGCAGTGTGGAACATCACTTAACGTTGAGAAACCATTATTCATAGTCTCATGATATCTAGAAGCGGCATTATCATGCCCAGTGCATTTCAAAGCCCTGCGACTATGCAGACCAGATACATGACTAAACTCCCATTTTGACCTGACCGATGCACCAGAGAACAGATATCACCTCTACTTCCTGAGACCACGCTGGTAGAAAGCAAGCTCCTCGCCCTCGAGGACGTATCCATCGCAGCGACCGCTCTGGCCGGGGCGGGATGAGACGACGGCGTACAGACGACCGGCCTCGAACTGCTTCTCAACGGCGTTCTCGACCTTGCCGGATGTCTTGACACGCTCAGTCTGCTTCTTGGCGACGGCGTTGGACTTCTTGATGTCCTCGGCCTTCTCGCCAGCCTTGACCTGCCTCCTGCGGCCGAGGGAGACACCGTAGTGGGCCTCGTACCATTGTCTGAAGGGGGCAGCGTCGATCTGGACAACGGCGGAGCGGGTGAGGGTGTTGGTTCGGACCAACTCGTTGTTGGAGGGGTGGTAGACGACACCGATCACACGGGTCTTCTTGGCGATGCCCTCAGAGCCCCATGAGAAGTTGCCGGAGTCGAGACGCAGAGCACGGAACTTGCGGTTGCCGCCACGGGTGCGGACAAGATGGACACGCTTAGCGCCAATACGGGTGTTGGCAGGCTGGCGGCCCTTCTCGAAAGCCCTAAAGCCATGTTAGACATGACTGGAGAAGCGATCGGTTTATGCATACCTCTTCTTGCGGTAGTATGCCCTCTTCGCACCGGAAGCGGAACGCTTGTGGCGAGAGTCTCGTGAGATACTGCGAGGAGTTAGCGAGTGTCTGGAGAGAGAAGCAGAGTGTGTAGATACCCCATGATTGCGATAGATCAGAAGACTGCTGTCCACAGTAAAATTAGCATTGGTCCTCTTGGATTTGTGCGATTAAGCAGCAGTATTGCTACGAGCCCGCCGCCGTGTCCTCTCTCCCCAGTACCATCCTCAATCGTATGCAACCCGGTTGGTGTTTTGACTTGTGTGCGACGATATTTTGGTGGAGTGGTGCAGCGGAGAGAATGACGGCGCAGATTCGATGTCGCAATGCTGGCTACTCGATGCGCGGTGGAAT